GTTTACCATGAATATCATAATGTTTACCATGAATATCATGTTTGCCATCAATATCATAATGTTCATCAATATCATGATGTTTACCATGTTTATCATGGTGTTCTCTGTGGATATCATAATGTTTACTGAGAATATCATGTTTACTGTGAATACAACAATGTTTACTATCAATATCATGTTTACTGAGAATATCATAACTTTTACCATGAATATCATAATGTTAAGTGTGAATATCATGAGCTTCACTGTGAATGTTATGATGTTGACCATGAATACTGTGATGTTGACCATGGCTATCATGGTTAATTGTTAATATGACATTTACTGTGATCATAACATTTACAATATCAGCATTGTGTTTATACTAAAACCTAACCACACATCTTCTTCAGTAGTCTGAACAATATCAACTGTTTTTGTCATTTTCAAAATAAACCAATATTAAATAAATCTTTTTTGAAATTTTTTTATATACAGCAATAACAAATATTTTACCTTTTTGGTTCAAAATTAACAAATCATTTATAGAAAATTACCAAAAAATATGCAAAATTTGTGTGAGAAGTAGTTAAAAAATAGTTAAAAAATTATCTAAAAATAGACTGAAGTATTTCAGTCTAGTTTTTTAATAAAATAGTAACATAAAAAAATAACATGCTTTTTTACAGCTCTGGACATTGAATGCCACTGTTGTCTCTCCTGAATTTTTTTTTGTATGTGCAATTTGCAAGTGGCAAGTGCTGACATATAGTGCATTTTTGCCACAGGAGTCATATTCATGTTTTGGGACTAAACACATGACATGGCTATGTGGCCATCTCTCTATCAAATGGCAATTTAATGCGCTATCCTGGTGTCAACCAGGCTTGGTTGAACGCAAGTACATGTACCTATAGATCTTAACCAAAGTTCCCCCAAAGTTGCATTCGTTAGTGAATGAATCTCGGCCAGTGGAATTGGCCTTCCCATTGAGTCTGTGGCACACTCACCCAGGGTAGGGGTTGAACACCTTTGATGTATAGCCTAAGGTTGGATTTGAACTTGGGTCTACCGATCATGAGTCTGATGCGACACCCACTATGCTACCAGTGCTACATGCTTTTATTTAATTTAACATTTTTGAACAAAATTAACGTAAAATTAAAATTTTTATGAGAATTCTAATATGAAATTAAAAAACCTTTCATCTGCATCAATTTTAGTTAAAAAAAATAGTGCAGAAACTTTTTTTTTTTCTTAGCCTAAATTTTCATTTTGCAGTTTCTTTAGTAACATGCGGGTACATTTTCTGTTACAGCTTGCTTGTGGTTTACTAGTGTCAATTAATCTAAAGTACAAGTTTAAAAAATCTAAAAGGTACATTTTATGTGCAGGATGTATGTATACATTTGTAGATTTGACCTTTGACCCCTCGACTACAAAAAATAAAATTTTGTAAATAACATACAAATAAATTATCTATGTTTTTTTTTGTAACCTGTAGCCAATGAGAACAAGAACAGTAAATGCAATTTTTTGCCTTAACCTTCTCATCACCAGTTCCTTCTTTTTATCACAAATTCACAAAATAGTTTATAGTCTGCAGTTTCAATCAGAAGATTGGGATAAAAATAACCAAATCTTTTGAGTAAAAACTGAAAATTGACTCAAATTTCGTCTGTTGACTCCAAAATTAGAGTTCATGTCCAGAAATATTGAAGAATATATGAAAAAAGTCTAGAATAATTTGGATGAGAAAGTCTGACGGTGAAAACATTAAGTGAGATTCTACTGGAGCAAATACAGTAAACCGCTTTACTATCGCATAAGATAAAATTTCGTGGCTCAAGCAAAACAGAATAATTTTGTAACAGGAAACTATTCATGGTGGTCCATAAGAGGAAGTTACAGCAGCATTTTTGATATATTGAACTTGTGAATGCTCTTCAAAAATCAAATTGTGAATGCTTTCCTGTATGTGTATTCCATGAAAGGGAATTTCTACATATATGTCTAGTACTGGTCATCACCATAGTAACCATAATGATTTCTTCCTTTCTTCCATGGTTCCGTAAAACTTATGCATATCGATGGCATCACTTAACATTTATTCTAGGACTTTGATTGATTCCATGGTAACCAGTTAAATAAAATTTATGGATGAAAGCAACTATAATTTGATTCTGTATGGCTGGAAAGAAAAATTATTAACATTTCATGTCTTGTGCTACTTTTGGAAATTAGATAACATTTTACTTGTTTTCGTTAAATACGATTTCATTTTAACACATCGGCATGGACACACAAAAATCTATAGAAAAAATGGGCATCAACAGACGAATATGAAGAGTCTATGAACAAATTTACTGTAAATCTGTATTAGAAGCCGCGACTTCTATTGAAATGGTCCAATGCAACAGAGGGGATGCGCCTTCTATTAGAGCATCTACACATATGAGAAATTGTGAATTTTTGATTCCAAATTGTTCAAAAAGAATGGATGCGACTTCTATTAGGGATGCGGCTACTAATACAGATTTTACGATATTTTGTATAACTTAAGTAAAAAAGTTATGAATGTTTTTGACTCCCGTGTGCGAAGCACAAAAGGGAGTCTTTGCAGTTACCCTGTCTGTATGTCTGTATGTCTGTATGTATGTATGTATGTATGTATGTATGTATGTATGTATGTATGTATGTATGTATGTATGTATGTATGTATGTATGAATGTCACTTTTTTTGTTCCACTGTTATCTCAAGAACCACTAA